GACATCATGTCTCTATGTAGCTCCCCAGGGAGCGAAGAAAGATCGTTAGTCTTACATCTCATTTTGATCACCCTTGCTGGAGAAGAAATTCAGCTCACAGTAGAATTGCAGGAATTTGACAGGCTCAACGAGTTCGAAAATGCAGTGCTGCAACAACTCCCCTACATTGGAGAGAGCAGCACCTTCGGCTGTGAGCTTGAGTTTATTCATAAAGATACCCGCAAACGCCTGGTTGACCCAATTTGGGACACCTTGCGTGACAATAACTGTTTCAACCTGGTAGTTCGTCAGTTTTTCTTGGCCATAGGGCATATGAAAACTGCAAACAACTTACCCAGGTGGACATCTCTAGGACTAACATTGTAATGCTGCACATGCACACCTTTTCGCACTGCCAAAGCTTGGAAAGAGTGAGCCTGCCACCCTGCCTGAGGGAAATCAGAGCAGAGGCATTTGTTGGGTGTAGGGTCCTGCGCAGTCTTACCCTCCCTAGCTACCTTCGCTACATAGGACACAGGGCCTTTGGGGACTGTAGTGAGCTAGTCTGTCTGACCTACAAGAGAAGCAAGAGAGTTACATGGAGGCGCCCTTATGCTGCCTACAATGCTTTTGAGGCTTGTTACAAACTTGATATCCCTTGGTGGCTCCATTATCTACCCCCGAACGGGAGTGATTGGATGGTTCCACCCAGTCACCACACTTGAGAATAGAGCCTCTCCAAAGGCTGTAGAGCACATCAGGGCGGTTACCCATGTAACCGTCCCTAGTTACTGCTTTCACAGTTTTTTATGGTCGTCGCCTTTATGTCGCCGCCTCTATGCAGCTGGCTGTGCCTTCAGACTCAAGACTACAATAGGACGGTGGACCCTCGCGATGGTCGAAGACATTTCGTCCCAGTGCAGATCCCTAGTGAGTGAAGAAAGATCGTTGGTGCTGCAACTCATCTTGATCACCTTCGCCGGTGAGGAAATCCAATTGACAATAGAATTACAGGAATTTGACAGGCTCAATGAGTTTGAAAATGCAGTTCTAGAGCATCTCCCTTGCATAGGAGAGCGCAGCACCTTTGGTTGCGAGCTTGACTTTGTCCAGAAGGACACCCGCAAAATGTTAGCCGACCCTATTTGGGATACTCTGCGTGAAAACAACTGCTTTAACCTGATTGTTCGTCAGTGTTTTGCCCAGGCAGAGCACAAAGGGCAGCTGAAGAGCAGGGTCAAAGCAATTAGGGTCCCGTCTAACAGTACTGGTCGGGTACTGCCACATGCATTTTCGCACATCACAGATGTCAGGCATGTGCAGGTAGAAACAGGTATTCGCATCATTGGTGAGGCTGCCTGGCAGAGTTGTCTGCGACTCCAGGTGGTTCAGCTGCCGAGCACGGTAGTCTGCCTCCAAGACGGGGTTTTTCGCAGAAGCTATGCGCTCAGAACTGTCTTGGCCCCGGGGTGCAAGCAGTTTGGGATTGAAGTTTTCGAGGAATGCTGCTCCCTAGTGCAAATAGGAGTTACTAGTGATGCAACTAATCAACTAGCTCCGCAGATCGTCTCACTCTACCTGCCGCCAGATTTCACATGGATAGGACCTGCAGCCTGTGAGCACTGCACACGGCTGCAGCTAGTCGATCTCTCCCGGACAGAAATAAGCGAGATTTTGGGGTCCACCTTTGCACACTGCTCGCAATTGCAGCACCTCAGTCTTGCCAAGAAGCTACGAAGGATTGGACGAGAAGCCTTTCTGAAATGCACTTCGCTACGCGAAGTGCACCCCCCCCCCCAGCGTTGCTGTACATTGCTCAACGAGCACTTGCAGGACGCACGCAACTTTGCAACTTCCATAAACCAGAAAAAAGAACGACATGGAGAGGGCCATACGCTGAGACCAATGCCTTTGACAAATGCAGTCAATTTGACATACCAAAGTGGATCCACCTTCTCCCACCGAACACAAACAGTGGTAGTGAGGGGTGGGCTGATGATTTCTATGAGGAGCTTCGCAAGGACCTGCATTAGCTTTGCTAAGTGCCCAGACTTGAACCCATGTGCAGGTCCTGCCGATGACACGAACATGCCAAATGACTGTGACACTGAGTGGCTAGACAGTGCCCAGGCTGCCACCCTAGTGGTAGTCCTGGATGAGTACAGAAAGTACAGACTGTACAGCGCACAGGACATAGGATAACGGTGTTTCACCCTTTTTCACGTAGTTCATGGGGCCTGCACGTTTCATGAATGCACAAAGGTGGCGCACCCACAAGGCGCCAATGAGAGTTCAACTCCTACTGTTAGCGCGCCAGTTGACTACCCAACTCGGCTCTCGGTGAGTATAGAGAAAATTTTGCCTTTCTGTGACTCCCTTTGGCAAAGCTGTTCTTGGAGCCACCGTCGCATCGTGGATGTGCAAGGTTGTTGCTCCCCCTCCCTCGGGGGGGGGAAGCGGGCCTGCCGGAACCATGCCTGCTAGCACCTCCCTATTCTCGATTACATGGCTCCGCTGTCTCATATTTTCGACGATTTGAAGTTATCGATTGCTGATACGGCTGTTTTCCCTGAGTCGGAAATGTCTCGCATGGTCCGCACCATTCTCTGTGACTTTCGTGAGTAAGATTGCGGTGATCTGGCTGCCTTGGATTGCCTTCCATGCAAACCTGCAACCTTAGTTTTGCAGTACCTTGGCCTGTGCCATGCAGCCCCCTTTTGAAGCAGGGCGTGTCGGCTTCACAGCTCACCGTATGAAGAACAGCAGATCTCGTAGGCCGAGGTGAAGTAATTATACCTCTCTTGGCAAGCAAGCAGCCATGAACCTGAAGATGACGAACTGAGCGCAAAGGAAGAATTCATCGCCCCTTGTTTCACACTGTTTCACCTCTTCTTTTGGCTGACGCAGCCTTCCTGAGGTACGAACCTTGCCTGCGGCCTTGGTGGGTTTGGTTTGTTGGTTTTTTGGGGTTTGCTGGTCTGGTTTTGGCTTGCTGCTTGGTTCGTATCTCCCTCTTTTACTAGCCTAAGGTGACTTGTGCATATTCTGCACACACAGCGCCTCGACTCGTGCAAAAAAACACGGCGTGTCAGGCATCGCTGGATTACCAGCGTACTCAATTGTTTTCCGGTAAGCACTTACCACTAGGTAAGGATTGTCGTCTAACTGGTCCTTGGTCGTGCGGTGGCCTACCAAACCAGCATCCAGCTGCGCAGGCTGGAATTGATTATCCGTTGTTGACTGAACTAGGCTCGGAAGTGCATGCACCGGGAAGTAGACATACATGTCATTAATGGGGAGTTCTTGCTGCCCATGATTCATTCCCCTTGCAAAGGACATGACTTGCTTTTATATAGTGGTATTTTTGTATTTTTTTTTTGGCTGTTTTTCCCTCAAAGCTAAAAAATCAAGTTGGATGCAAAATCAATTTTCAATTCTCGTTTACCTTTGAAGAAATGTGTTCATGTCATGCTTCACCTAAGCAGCAGCGCACAGAGGCAAACAAGTAAAGCACGCTAGATTTTAGTAATCTATCATTCACTGCACCGTTTTTGGAATGCGGTTGCTGTTTCAAAGCTGTAACTTTTCAAGGAGCACCTCAAACTCGTTTGAGCCTTCCACATTCCTCGTCTACGCGCAAGAAAAATGTTTTTCACACTTGTGAAGATATTTGGCTTGCTCGTTGCTCCTTTGGGCCATTAAACTCACCTAGTGTAACTTCAGGGTGCGTCGTCCCAAGTGCCCAGGCCCAAGACTTGAGCATTGGCTCAAGGTAGAAGTGGTGCGAGGGCTTTCGCTTTGCCTGTGAGCTGTTGCACGTGCTTTCGCTTTGTGTTTTGAATGTTTGTAATCTACTTACCTGAGGTAGTAGGTTTTTCAGGGGGGCTGCGATCCTTTGCAAGCTGACTCTGGATGCTTGCCCGTCCACCTGACGCAACAAAAAGCCGGTGGTGTGGATGTTGGAACATCGGCGTTGTTGGCTTCGGTGCCCAAGGGTCGAAGAGCTGAGGAAGACACAGAAGAGCTGTTGGATGCAGATTCAGAGACTGAGAGACGGGGTTGAAACAGTTTGGTGGATGTTGCACTGGCGGTGGAGTTTTCGACCGACCAAAGTGAGAGAATTACTTCACCTGCTCTTCCAAGTTTAAGGTGGTGAATTTTTTCGGGGTCAAAGTGAAGGTTTGGCACAGGGAACGATCGATGATTCGACTGGAACAGTTGAGGGCAGACCACTGTTTCGACGGTATGTTGCGTTTTGGAACTTGCAGGCTGCCGCTGCAGCTGTGGGATGTCCATGGCTGTTATGCTATGGAGCTTGGGTGCTGGTGCTGCTGCTCTGTAGGTGTTGCTGTCAGGATCCATTGCAGTGTGCGTTTGGGAGCTGGGGTGCTGGCGCCGCCGCAAGGTGCTGCTGTTGCCCACAAATATCATTTGCCATCTGGGGTCTATGCTGGCGCATCTTTTGACACTATCGACACAAGTTACTGGAAGTGCGTGGACATTCTCTTTGCAGCTGCCAAAAAGGAGTTTCCCGCAACTTTGAATCTGCGGCTCCACAACACTTTCCCCACCATTGATCGTGGTGGAGGAAATCATCCAATTTTGGTTGTGGGTGGGTGCAGGTTTGTCTCAAGTGTCTTTGGTGTGTGTTGATTCAATGGCCGGGGGGTGCCGAAATGCATTGAAACAGTTTGACAGTTTTTCAAGACGGTTCAGCCGGTCAAGTTTTGCATGATCAAAATGACTGTGGACATGTGTTCCTTGAAGAAGGGGATTTGTGCTGTTCGAACGACACAAATAAAAACAAATATCTGAGTTTTTAACCTCATGCCACAGCCAACATTGTTGGGTGCTACTATCAATGTTGGGTATTCAATACAAGAGCATGCTGAGATGCAGGGCAACGGTCTTGACTTGGCGGGTCTTTGTCAAAGCGAGCTGCAGATGGGTTTGGTGCGTCTCAATTTTTTACAGTAGAACCATAGCAAATTCAGTATGTTAAGTCTTGTACGTACATGATGGAGATACTCAAATTTGACTTGATAGACAGACACATCTGAAGCCATGGCTTGTGCGAAACCCAAATGTGAGAAACCGCTGGGTTCGCCCTACTTGGCGTGCAGATGCGGTCAAAGCTTTTGTTCAGAGGCATGTAGAACGGAGCCGAACGGTCGTCGAAACCGTTGCTCGTGCGCGAAGTCGTGTCGCTTAAGGAGTCCAAACATGAAACGGACCCCCAAAACTCACTCATCAAATGGTCCTGAGGGCACAAGTGAGTGGACTCCCATTTTTTTGTGTGTTTCAACTGTTACAGCATCAGCCAGCATTAAATCATCAAAGATAGCGGCTTCCAAGGCCATGGGGACACAGCAGTTGTTTGAACCTGCAGCTACTTGAGTTTTGATCTCTATCCGTGGAGAACCAACAAGGCTGTTTACAGTGCTTGGCTACACACACAATGGTTTTCTCTTGCATGGTCAAAGGCTCACGGTTTTGAAAAGACTTTTGGTTGAACGCATTCTACTTGGGTGAACGGGCTGGGAAGTGAAGAACACATTCGGATTCATTGACTCAATTGGAGGCTTGCTTTGTGGCTGTGTGGCACAGCAAGCATTCTCGGCAATGTCCCAATGCCGAAGACATCAAGAAGGACTGGACCAGGTTGAGGTTTGCCTCATGCCCCTGCCGTCTTCCCAACATGAAAGATTGCCCCTGCCGTCTTCCCAACATGAGGAGATGATGGAGAAGGCCGGTGGCCCACAGGGCATGCTAAAGAATGGTGCGAAATTGTTGATGGCCGTGGCCGTGACAAAGCTTTTTGCGGCCGATGTCTCAGCTGACTTGAAAGAAGTTTCAAAGGCAGGAGGAGAAGAAGAACCAGATATTCAGCATGGGAGCCTTGACCCCAGCCTGGAAAAAAGTCTCCGTTCAGAGTGTGCAGAACTGCGGGAAGCGCACGCAGCAGCGGAAGAGATGAAATCTCGGCTTCAAGTACGTGTAGCCACTTGTCAGCAGGTGAATGAATAAACAACCGATGTTTCCAAAGAAGAGGAGCGGCTGTAACTGATTGTTGTTTGTGTCGTCGCGTGACGTTCAAGAAAATCCTTGAGGAAGAGTTGGACCGGGAGTTCACTGACTCTTCTGAGCGGCTGCAGCTGGCACTTCGTGAGGTTTCCCGCTTAGAGAAGCAGCTCCAAAGCATGGAAGGAGCAGCTCGTGACCAAGGGAATACCCAGCAGCTGCAAGCAGAGGTAGCAAAGCTCCGTGTTGAGAACACAGCGGCTTGGCTGTGGAACTGGCATGCTTTGGCTGTGCCCCCAAAAGGACCTTCTTTGAGACATACTTGGCGGCTGCCAAGTAGGTCGTCAAGTTGGCCTATGTGGGTGGGTTGGGGGGTGGCGGGGTTTGGATGCGCCAACGGTCCGCTTTCCCAAAGAAGACCTTGCCCAACCACCCGACGAGATCGTGGTCGATCTTTTCGTCACTGAGGACATGTGGAGAGATGTTGCAGGTCTGCGTGCGGAGAACAATGATCTCAAGGATGACCTTGGTGAGTTGAAGAAATCCCTTCGCCAGGCAGAAGAAGCCCATCGCCAGGCCGTAAATCGTGCAGACGTGGCCGAAGAAGAGTTGAAAGCCAATGGCCAAGGGGAGCAAGCGCAGCGCTTGGGTCACCAACTTGAGGAGAAAGAGCTGGCTTGTACAGAGTTGCAATCAGAGCTTTCAAAAGCACAGCATGATCATGAGGAGACGAAGGGTTTTTGTGCTGCAATCCAACACGCAGAACAGCTTGCCAGGGAGGAACTTGCATCTGCGACTGAAGACAAGAATCGCGTTCATGAAGAGAGCCAACGATTCCTCAACGAGGCTCAAGTTGCAGTATCAGCACGTGATGAGCTGCAGGGGGAGTTAAGATCAACGGTGCAGGAACTCCAAAGTATTCAGGAAGAGAAAGGGCGCATGGTGCAGGCTGCCTGCGCTTTGCGGTCAGAAAGAGATGATTTGGTGACGCAGATGAACTCCGCAGCAGAGAGGCTGGAGCAAACGGAGGCTGAACTCAGTAGAGTGGCTCGTGAAGCCTGCTCTTCCGAAGAGTTGTGTGAGAGATTGGACGGGGAGAGGTGTAAGCTAATGGCCAATTTGGAGGCTGCTGAGGATGCAAGTCAGAAGCAAGAGGTCGAGAACGAGCAGCTTCACAGCGAGCTTTACTCCTGCAAAGAAACACAACAGAAGCTGGATGCAGAGCTAAAGAAGGCAGTAGAGGGGCGCGCCCGATGTGAGGAGGATGTCTTAAGGCTCCAGACAGATCTTAAGCAAGCTGAAGAGGAACGGCAGACGTCGAAGCAGAAGATGGAGCAGCTCTTAGAGGAATCAATGTTCTGATGTTGATTCTTGCTGAAGCCTTGCAAAACACCGGTGCACACGTTTCTGCTGTTTCCATCCTTGAGCAACCCAGTGTGAAGGTGCTAAATTGCACCCGCTGGTCTTGCCGGTTTCAATGCTAGCTGCCCACTACCCACATCCTTCTGATGGGCCTTTTGTGACCACAGCTGAAGTGCAATGGGAGACGAAGACCAGGTAGACTACAGAGCTGTAGCACCTACCACTGTAGCCTCTTCATTTCCATGATTCTTCTTTTCCTTTCTTTTCTTTCTTTCACTGCAGGAGTTGCGTGTGGCCGAACGGCGCCACGAGCGCCAAGAAGAAGAATGCAAGAAGCTCAAGGAAGAGTGGGCGGCGGAGAGAAGCAACACTCAGGACTGCCAGGGTGACTCTTTTTTTGCGACTCGTTGTAATCAAGATTTTAGTCTTTTTCCTCAAGTGTGGTGACTGGTGACCGGTGGATGGCATGGTCCTTCCTTTTTTCAAGACGCTCCAAACGGGTTGGACACTCCCTGGAACTCACATGGATAACGCGGATGCCCATGGCCCGATGGAAGACCATGAAATCCCGTGTGCCAAGAAATAAGAGAAATGATGAAATACTCTAGCTGAGCAGGCATGACGACTGAGAAGTGTGGGAAACATGATTGCCATGCAATTGCCATGCAATTGCCATGCAATGCCTTTGGAGTCAAAACCAGACTGTTTGTTCTGGCCGACACTGTTCTTGTCGAGGAGTGGAGAGCATCTTGGACAAAACTTGAGAAATGTGCGTCACTGAAACCGCACAGAGAGGGACGCACAAGAGTGATCAGAGAGTATTGGGATGTTGGATGATGTTGGTATGTTCTGATGACTTTGCAAATCATGGATACATCTTCTTATCAATGCTTTGAGTTGATGCCATTTTTTCTGAGAAATTCATTCTGGAAGAACAAGATCGAAACCGATCACTGCATGAGCAGCTAGCAGAAGCCGAGAAAGTGAAATTTGAGGTGCGTCAATTGCCAAGTCAAACACGTCACGTGTGCATTACCAAACAAAGCAAAGAGCAGGGTGGTTTTCAGAGAACGGTTTTCCCGCATGAGGCACAGAATGCTGAAGCGCATCATAGACGTTTGAGTGAGCGAATGCAACGTCTGTTGCAAGAAGAACAGAACAAAGGAGCCAAACTTCTGAATTGTTCTGAATTGTTTCGCAGCTGCATCACAGGTGAGTTGTGAAGAGCAAGGTCTTGCAGCAAGGTTGCTGTTTGACCAGTGGACCAGGGAAGTGCTGAGAACATAGAGGCCTTAGACTTCCTTTCCAATTTCCCATTCCTTGGACAGCCCTTAGTATGCCTAAGCACTGGGAGCATGGATGTCTATTTGCGGTCCCAGGGCAGCAACCACTTCCGCCCCCCACTTCCGAGTCAAACGCCGCGGCGACGCGTCTCGCGGACGCGGACCTGGAGCTTTCCACCTGGCATTTGGCTTCAGCAAAGGGTGGCTTCGGCCCATCGCACCAAATAGGTTTTTTCAGGCGTAGAAGGGGGCGACTCGAGTGACTTGGACCGCGTTTTGAGCCAAACGAACGACCAGAATACGAGCTGATTTAAGAGAAAAAACACAATCTTTTTTGAGTCACAAATCGCAATACATAGCAATGGCCTCCAACCTACTAGCGATGGCCTCCAACCTAGCAATGGCCTCCAACCTAATAGCGATGGCCTCCAATCTGATAGCAATGGCCTCCAACCTAATAGCGAAATTTTTGTGCATTGAGAAAAAGAACAACCGGCAACTTGTGGCGATGCGTTCTGCAGCGCGGTGGAGCTCGCTGGTTCACAGTGGAGCTGAGGCCATGACGACGATGGGAATCAATGGCTTCGGCCGAATTGGGCGCCTGGTTTTTCGTGCAGCCGTAGAGAATCAAAGTGTTCCGTGGAGATGAAGAAGTTCTTGTTGCAATTTGCCTCCATCATTGACCTAGCAGATGATTGGCTGACTGGTGAAGACTTTTTGGGGTACTTTTCAATGAATGCTGAGGTTACAATGATTGCTGTTAATGATCCCTTTATGGACTTGGACTACATGCAGTATCTCTTGAAGTATGACTCCGTCCACAAGAGGTTTAACGGCACCGTCACCACCAAGAAGGCTTGAAGATTTACTCTGTGGTGTGGCACTGTGACGCAGCAGTTGTACAACAGATTTCTTTTTTTAGTGCCTTCCTTGTTGATACAAACAGGGAACACAAGATCCATAACAAAATATAGTTAATATTTTTTCAGTGAAGCTTTATATTCGCGCCGAGCTTTGGTTTTCTCACTCAGCGCCGTGGCAGGAGGGCACTGAGGAGTATTTGGTCGTCAATGGTTTAAAAGTGCGGGTCTTCCACGAGAAGGATCCGGCTCAGATCCCTTGGGGCAAAGTCGGAGCCAAGTACGTCTGTGAGTCGACCGGCGTGTTCTGCGACAAGGAGACCCGATTATGTTTTTCCATTGCTTTGCATATTAATACATTTTCCATATATATATATATATGTACATGCACTCTCTCTCTCTATTTTCTTGTGGTGCTTTCTTTTTTCTTCTTTTGAACATAATTCATTTTTTGGCCCCATCGCCAAGAGTCGTTGGCGGTGCTTCGATACATGGCGGTGCGAGTTTCGCGCGTTGCGTCAGCTTGTTTGTGCTTAGTTGCGTGGTGTGAAATGCAGGAGAAGGCGTCGAAGCACTTGAAGGGTGGATGCATGAAGGTCATCATCTCGGCTCCTCCCAAGGAGAGATTGGACATTTTACCGGATTGGATGACGTTTGTTTTGGAGATCGGATTGGACGAACCAACCTTTTCTTCCCGTTTTGTTTCCGTCTCTTCCTTTTTCTTCCCGTTTTCGTTTTCCAGCGCGAAGAAAAACAAAAATCACCAAAAGGACATGCAGTCAACGGTCGACGGCCTGGCGGTCAGGACAATACCCCGATGTTTGTGATGGGTGTCAACCAAGAGAAGTACACCAAGGCCGAGTCCGAAGACTGTCCAAAGCAACGGGACTTGACCAGAAGTCAACGTGACTTGGCACCTTCTGCCGGGGGGCGGGGTGTTTATACTGCTAATAGCAGCCTCCAACCTACTAGCGATGGCCTTCGTAAGAGCGATGGCCTTCAACCTGCGACAGGATTTGGAGGTGGTCTCCAATGCCTCTTGCACCACCAACTGCCTTGCTCCACTGGCAAAGGCGCTGGGCCGGGACTGGTGGCTCGAGCGTTGGGGGCGGGAAAGCGTGGGAAATGCTGAATCTGCAAGACCGCTCGAGCGTAGATCTTCAGCCCGAAGATCAGAGACCCCTCAGGTTTCAGCGGAACATCTCAAGTAACAGGATATCTCGAAGCAGTTGGGCAAGTTGCCTTGTCAGAACACACACACACACACACGTTGCGTCTAGCTCCAAGGTTTGGCGTGGCTTCTGGTGAGCAGAAGCACTGAAACACTCTCGACCTGGTACGACCTACCTCAAAACAACCGGCAACACCTTCGGTAGCCAGCTCCGTGACCTCTCATCCTCCGAGATCCAGCCTCCGTGGATGTCGAGACGCTCGGGTGGACGTCGAGTGAGGTGATCAATGACAGCTTTGGCATTGCTGAGGTCGGGGGCCATTGAAGATGTCGATGTGGTTGATGTGGTCGGCGATCGATGATCTTCCCTGCAAAACAAATCTGGAAAGAGGACATTTCAGAAACAAGTTCTGGGCCAGTTCCAAGGTGGCACTTGAGATGCTTCACAGAACTAAGTGGTTGTTTGTGAAAAATCCCTTCCAAGACCATGAAAAAATAGGGTTGACCTGGTATTTGCAGTGTAAACATCCTTAGCAAAACATTTGTTGTCTTCAGAATTCCGGCTATTCAATGGTGGGCAACCACACTCCTCGGGTTTTTGGGGTGAAAAACCGATCTCCGATCCGCATCCGATCTCCGTGCGGTGCGTGCTTTTGGTGAGGTCACTCGTCGGCGGGTTTTTCAACACGGGTTGGGTGTTTTCAATTGGTGCCCTTTCCTTTGGCCTGAAGCTGGAATCAACATTCTGGGGTAAATTTATATAAAGTATACTATCCCCCATCCATCCAGCCATCCAGGTCAAGATTAGGTCCTAGACGGACCTGAAGTAAGGGAGGGGCCTGCCTGCGGATATGCCGGCGACTCAAGATGCCTACGAAACAAGGCCGCTTCTCCCAACCCCCGACCTCAAACCTGAGTGACCTCACCCCACCGACCACCCAGAACTATGCTCTCTCCCAAAGGAGCGGGGTCATCCCTGGGGCTCGCAGCTTTGAGCGTCCTTTTCAGGGCCTCATGACCACGGTGCATGCGATGACGGCCACGCAGCTCACAGTGGATGGTCCATCTCGTGGTGGAAAGGAAGCAAGGGTTGGGTGCCCATGCCATCGTGGCATGGGCAACAGTGGGTCAGTAGCTTCTGTTTTTTTTAAACCTCCCCACAGCCGGATACGGCCGGCGGGTGTGCTTTCAGACTGGGCTGGCTTTCTCGTAGGACTGGCGTGGTGGGCGCTGTGCTTCGGAGAACATCATTCCATCTTCCACAGGAGCCGCCAAGGCGCTGGAAAGCTCCAGAGTTGAAGTGTGCAGCTGCAAAGTTCTCTGATTTGTCAGGCAGTTGGCAAGGTCATTCCGGCCATGAATGGTAGATGCCTCAGATTTTTGTTGCTTGGTTCTTCAACCTGAAACATGGAAGCGTTGAGCATCTCACCTCCCAAAAGCTTTCGTGGAGTCCTTCGATTTTCCAGAAAAACCAGGCAGCTTGACTCCGGTCCGGTGGTACCTGAGGCAAGCTGACGGGCATGGCCTTCCGAGTACCGACTCCTGATGTCTCGGTCGTGGATTTGACCTGCCGCTTGGAGAAGCCGCTTGGCGCACGGCAGTCGGAGCGGTCGGCCGTCGGTGGCCGGCTGGCCTGGTCGGTGCGTTCGGCGAAGTCAGGCCAGCCACCATGGATGAGATCACTGCGGCAATCAAAAAAGCAGCTGATGGCGGGACATGTGTGACAATGTCTCAGCAGATCGGCGCTGTTTTTGCTTCTTCGCGTTTGAGCTTGGAGAATCAAGAACAGCCCTCGGCAGGCCCGATGAAAGGCATTTTGGGCTTCACTGATCACGAGGTGAGGATGGATCAACATGTGTTTAGAACGTGTTCAGCTGTTCAAGTGGGACAGTGGGTGTGTATGTTTTAAAGGGAGACTTCCCAGTTCGACCCATTGAAAGAAAGACAGACCAGTCCACCCATTGGGCCAGGACATCTCCTTATTCAAATACACACGGCTTGACCTTCCGCTTTGCGTGTTTTTTCACCCGTGACAGTCACGGCGTGACTCTGACCTCCTTTTGATAGGAGGCCTTTTCTTGGACCCTCCAAAGCATCCGTCGCTACTCTCAGATTCTAGGGAACATTGGAAACTGGCCACACTTGACATCACACTTCTAAGATATTCCATCCATTTCCTGTAGGCTGCTTTCCAGCGCTCCTTTTTGCACCCCAGAACTTTTTCCGGGCTCTCGACGGAAACATCCTCTAAGCAAAACCCCTTTTCTACCACAGGTGGTGTCCACCGACTTTGTCACGTGTGCCTATTCCTCGATTTTTGTCCTTCCCTCAGCTTGGACCCGTGACCGACGACCCAGGACGACCTGACCGACGACCCAGGACGACTTGCAGAACTGTCCTGTCTCGGCTGAGGACAAGACTGCCTGCATCGCGCTCAACGACAAGTTCGTGAAGCTTGTGTCTTGGTATGCCCTGTCCTTGGGTCATTTCCAACCTTGGCTTCCTCATTGGCAACAGGTTGTCCATGAGCTTGACGGAAAAAGAGCTGCCAGGACAATGAGTGGGGCTACTCCAACCGTTTGGTCGATCTCGCAGTGCACATGTCCCAGGCGTGACAAGCAAACCGTACAGCTGACCTCATGAGGGCTACAGCTGACCCTGATCGAGAAAGTTGACCCTTTTGCAGGTAGATGGTGTCATTCCACCTCCAGCCAAGATTGAGAGCATCAAGGCTCCGTTTGCCGAGTCTCTGGCAGAGGGGCAATATGCACAGTGCAATGATGCGAGGCTGAACACATTCCCAGCAGCAATAGAATCCATCCACACGGGAGATGGAACATGTGAAAAGATCACCTGGACATGGTTTCCCTATTGATATTTATTACTTCCTATTTGTGCTTCATGAAACACTTGCACAACCCCAGCCAGAAATGTTTTTCGGGCACGTGCACAACCTCGGGACGTGTTTTTACGGCCCTACGGCCCAGGCACGCGAGATCTTTGATTCGCGCGGAAACCCCACGGTCGAGGCGGGATTTCTTTTCTTTTTCAGACTGTCCAGCCGCAGGTTTTCTGAAGGTCTCCCCCAGACATGGATTGTAAAGCCTCTTCAGGACAGGGGGGTATATGATCTTCATCAAGAGTCAGTCTCTTTGGTTTCATGTTTACGGGCACTGTGACGAAGTAAAAGGTTCTAAAAGTTCTCTTAACATCTCTCAACTGGCCATGTCTTTTCACCCTAGCAGGATGGATTTTCGCTGCCACACTGGCCACTCCCAATGGTCGAAGCTACTTTTTGGCACTCCCAAGCCTGTCCCGTTTCGCTCGTCCCTTGTTCCATCTTGTTCCTTTCAGTGGGTCAATAGGACCAGTCGAGCTCCCGACTTCGAGGGCTCACCTTCGTCGACTGGTTCCCTCGCTCGTCGCTCGCTCCGCAGGTCGACCTGGTCACGAACGTCGGGCGGCCGAGGGACGTTGCGCTGAAATCGCCCGCGGCCGAGGGACATTGCGCCTGTCCCCAGGTGGAGGAAGGTTTTTGAGATGAGAAGAAGGGGCAACCTTCAATGCGGTTCGAAGTGGGAGCGGTGTTTTTGGGTCCCACTTCGGCACCTCCCCTTTTTTCCATGTCGACTCTCCAAACCCAGCTTTCAGTTCCCCCAAAGCGATGCACGCCGCTCGACGACCCCCCCGGACCGCCGCGTTTCGTGAACGGCCGGTCGCGGCGGAGTGGCCGGTCGCCAGGACCATTTGTTCCGCGCCGCCGTCCCGAGCGGAGCCTCCACGGGCATCTACGAGGCGCGTGTGGCGAATAGCGCGCCGCGGTTGGGGTGAAATATCGGGTTGGAAGAGTGGGATCTTGCGGATGGAGACAATTTTAGCTGAGAATTCTAGGGGGCATGAGGTGGAGCTGCTTAAGCTTGGAGTTCTTTCGACTCCAAGTCGTCGACGAACCGGTTCATTGAGGCCTTGGAGCTTCGAGATGGAGACAGCAAGAGGTTACTTGGAAAAGGTGTGCTGAAGGCACGAGTCTTGCTGCTTCACCACCACTGAGTCCGCTGCTGAGTCTTGCCCTGTCTGAAGAGGCCGTCCAGAATGTGAATGAGAGAATCGCACCAGCTCTCGTTGGCATGGATGTCACCAAGCAGAAGGAGATTGACAAGAAGATGGACTGGAGCTCAGTTGAGTCACAGAGCTGGAGCAGCTGGACTGGAGGTCACTGGGTGAAAAGAGGCGGAGCTTCAGCTGGCTTAGAGCTTGGCAGATGGCTGTGCCCCTGACTACGCGGCACTCAGGTAGAGCTGCTGGATGGCACTCAGAATGATTGGGGTTGGTCCAAGGCCGATCTGTGGATTCCGGAGTGTGAGACTGTGTAGGTTGTACGCGTACCTGGATTCCGGGATCTTGAGGTGGGTTGCCCAAACAGAAGAAGTGGACAAGATGTGGATACTTAATACTGATGTTTACTGGGTACCTTCTCAAATCCAAGTTCCTTTGAGTGGGGAGACCCAGGGACCATGTAATACCCAGCCGAACGTGCACATGGTCACCGAGTACGAAGAGTACGAAGTACAAACAGGGGTACCAACTTCCATGTTTCTGGGATAGAAGGTACATATAACTCGCAAGTCCAAGTCGACCTTTATCAAATGGCCCGTGAATTGGTGACTCGAGTGGACTGGAATTTCCTGGAACCGGCCAAATCGTCGACCTGAACACTAGATGGTGATCTATATGGGCATGTGTCAAAACCTGTAGCCCAACCAGTCCACCATGCAGCGAACGACCCTTCCACCAGGTCAACCAAGTTCTCCTGGTCTTTGACCCGCAGCTATTTGTCTAAAAAAAGGTAACCTCTTCGTTCCACTTGACCAGGAGTCACAAACGGGTGGTGTTTAGTCCCATCCAGTGAGTGGATGTTCTGGGCACTCCGACTTCCTCCAAGTTCGGTCCTGCCAGTCCAGCCTCGGTGCCAATGCGATCCTGGCGGTCTCGATGGCGGTGTGCCGCGCCGGGGCAGCTTCCATGGAAATGCCCGGACGCTCGTTGCGCCGTGTCAACCAGCGACTGAAGGAGCAGCACCTGAGAGAGGGAAGAATGTGGTTATCTGTATATAAAATATAACAATATATATGTAATATATGCTTGTATTTTACAGTTTATTATATGAGATCGTACTCACCCCTGCCCCATGGACCTACATTCCGGTTCAACAGTTGCCGGTGGTGTTTGGGATGTCTTCTTTCAGTGAACTTCCTTAAATCAGAGTGCTGACCACTGGAAGGGTTTCAGCTGCCGATTTGCCTTGACCCAGGCCTTTATACCAGTACTTGTCATGCCTCTCTGGCAGACCCACTGATAGCTATGTGCTTGCCTGAGTTCAGTTGCTGTTCTTTCAGCTCTTCTCCACCAGTGAAGCACCACATGGAGCACCTTTGAGGTCATGCCAGTTCCGTCCTTCAATGTCATCAACGGTGGCAGCCATGCTGGAAATCGCTTGGCATGCCAGGCCTGTCGCCTGTCTTCCACCACACCATTGAGACGCGAGTTTCGCGTCTCCCCACCTTCCACGTCCCGTCCTCCAAGAAACTTCGCTTTTGACGCCGGTTGGGGCGGCTTGGCTTGGGCCCCATCCCCGACGTCGGTGCCTTCGGATCACCTGGCACCCACAACACGGGGCACACACCCAAGGCGTGGCTGTGTTCGCCGTCGTTGCAGGAATTCATGATCCTCCCAGTGGGAGCCAAGTCCTTCAGAGAAGCGCTGTGCATTGGTTGCGAGGCGGGGCGTGAGACTGTTTCGTTTTTGATTTTGGGAGATTGACAATTTGGACCGTTGGGTAGTTTTTGTTTGCTTGGTCGATGTGGGTGTGTATGAAAATAGGGAGACCTCCCAATTCGACCCCCTGGAGGAAGAAAACTAGACCTAAAGCCATTGGTTTGGGGTCTCCCTATTAAAAAACACTCCCATGCCCATGTTCATTTATTGCCCAGCCTTCCACGTTTTATTCTGATGCATTTTGAAGGTTTATCACTCGTTGAAGAGCTGCATCAAGAAGAAGTACGGACAGGTGCACTGTTCAGAGTGTTTTTTGCCGGACTTTCTTGTGGCCAGAGATCTTGCCTGATTTTGCAATTCCTTGCAGCCAAGGATGCCTGCAATGTGGGCGATGAGGCTTGCAAGACCAGCTTCTTCAAAAGTAATCAACATGTGCATTGCTTATTTGTGACCTCAAATCAACCAGGGCACGATTCGTGACCTGGCTTCTGTGTTTGGATTTGTCGCTGTTCGCCGCGCACCTCGAGACCGGAACTCGGGTCGCACTCGGGTCGAACGTCGGCCGGCTCGACAGGGTGGATTTGCGCCGTCAGTTCAGGACAACAACGAGGCGCGGCGCCCTCCCCCCCCGCGCCCCGCGGATCGCCCACTTTTATTGGGGTCTGGAAGCGAATCGCGGCCCGTTGGTCCTGAAGGCCAAGAGGTTTTGACATGGGCCGCGGCCGCGTGTTGTTTTTGTTTTTTTTTTTTGGGACAAATGGGACACCTCCTGCCGGACACCTCCGAGCTAATTGAAAAACGAACTCTTCTGATCGCTTGCTGGGAGTCTGCAGGGTTTACTGCCAAGGCGCTGGATGTTCTCATGGATGCCATTGAGAAGTCTGGACACAAAGACAAGGTGCTTCTTGCTTCTGAAGACACATTTTCCATGCCTGTGACGACATGCGCTTCAATGAAAACAAACCTTTCAGGTGAAGATTGGAACAGATGTGGCTGCATCTGAGTTCTACAAGGACATCCGAGTGAAGTAGCGGTTCGGAATCGAGCCAAGAACTGTCCAGTTCTTCGACTCCTGTTGTTCTTCTCGTGGAGTCCCTCCAGTTCTTAATTTGATTCATGTACACCGACCCTGTAGATCCCTGTAGTCATCATGATGGAAGCGGAGTTCACCGACTATTTGAAAATGGTCATCCACCATCTTCCCATCCACTGCTTACCATCGTGACTTCTCCCGCGTTTTCCGCACGTCGACCGGCGAAGACTCGAGACCCGAGCCCAAGCAGTCCACCATGCGGGCCGCGTGTCCGACCCGAACCCACGTCGGTAGAGAACAAGCAAGGTCTCCTGGTGCCATGACCCACAGCCACAGGCATCTTGTTTGTCTGGTCATTGAGCTTGAGACGACGACCAGATACGAGCAGAATCCTTGACGTCAAGGAGCACGAAATCCCCACAAATCCTTAAGCCAGACATCTGGGACCCAAAAACTCCACGAGTTTCTTTGTCTGACCAGAGTGCACTAGAAAACTGACGGGACAGAACCCATACCGTATGGCCCATACCTTCATTTTCCATCTATAAATCTTGCACAGTTGGAAGACCCAGGCATAGCGGCATCTCTAAAGACCCCAGGCTTCTCCAGAATTTACTCCCAACGGGCTGCCCCGCCGGGACTTCCCTTGCAGCAATGTGCAGCGCTTTTTGTGCAGTGCGCGCTACACAGCAAAAGAACTTGCTCGTCGGTGTGTTTGTCGACGGTGTAGGATGGCAAGTATGACTTGGACTTCAAGAACCCTGCTAGCAAGGCTGCTGATTGGAAGACAGGAAGCCTTGAACCTCAGGAAGACAAGATGGCATTGAAGGTTTCTGCAAAATATGATTTGAGTGTGTTTTCCTATCACTTTGGCTTCAACTCCTGGAAGCCCGAAACAGGTTGACCATTTGCTGCAAACGTTGAAGAACAGTTTTGTTTTTTGACTCGCTGGACTCCGCGTCCTTTTGAGGCCAGATGGCAGATTATTATCAGGCCCAGACTCATGGTTGGACTGTGTTGAAAGACACCCCCAGACTGATGGGTTTTAACCACTTCAAACCTGCTAACAGGTTGACATCTGTTGAAGCCGTGGCGGTATGGGCTCGAGCTGTTCGATCCTTTCCACCCCGGACGCTGTCGGATCGAACAGAGAAAGCGGTTCGAGCTCCCGGTGAGGTCGACGCGGACTGTTGAGCTGGGCTTTGGTCATGTGACTAAGCGTGATGCTTCCGGATTTGGAGCTAGGCCCCCCAAAAAAACGGCCCATGACCCTCAGGTGACTCAGGTCGGCTGAGAAAAGACCTCCGGAACCGGATTCATCCCACTCCATGGCCCCCCCAAAGCGGGCCCTCCATGGGGGTTGGACCTGACACCCACCGAACCAGGGTCACTGAACCACCACCGAAATCCGGAGAAGCACTCGGATTCGCGGGGGGCCAATGGTAATCTTTAGGATTCAAACCGAAATCGACGGGATTCATCCCAAGTGTCGGTTTCCTCTGGCAGGCCTGGTTCGCCAAGTATCCCTTCGTCTCGATCGAGGACGACGAGACGATTTTTGACGTTTTTGGGCGCGGAAGAAGTTTTCTTTCTGACCTGCACCATCCATTTGGAGTGGTGATTGGAAGGACAATACACAGTCAGGGATGTCATCCAAATCCCTTCAAAACTTTTTATGTGACATGTGACATTTTTTTTTTTTTTAAAGTTTATTATGATGATGATTATTACTATCTGTTTATTTACTTTTTTTGTTTAAATCAGGTGAAAGGAGCAATCTAATTCATCAAGACCTACCGGGTTGATCGTTTCGGCATTCTGCAGGACCCCTTTGACCAGGATGACTGGGCAGCCTATGCCGAGTTCAACAAGAAGTGTGGCAAGGAGATCCGGTTCTTTGTTGGGTGGATGATCTCTTGGATTGCAAAGGGAACTCAGGGAACCATGTTTTTTGTCTTTGGAACCATTTTTTTAGCCAGCCGACCATCGTCGTGACTTGGCTGGGTAGGGTCATCGAAAGAGCTTTCACGGAGGTATTGATCAACGGAGTGGAACAATGGAACTCTTGCGCAGGATGTCCAGATTGTCGGTGATGACTTGTCAAAGACCTAGTTCAGCGTACATCTGGGTGCTAGGACCGCTAGGATTTTGGCCTAAATTTAAATACATGTGTATATATATGTATATGCTCCTCTAACTGTGATTCGCGTATGCACGTCTCAAGCTTCATGTTTAGTTTGGGTGCTGCTGCTGAGGGACTGACTGCCCTTCTTTCTTTTAGCAGCAGCTTGGCTTGTCCCGTGCACTGTCACCCATCACTCTTCCTGCCTCTCCTCACTGGTCTTGCTATTGGCATTCTCATTGGCCTTGCTTTGGGCTTTTGGATCTCCTTGCAATTGCTTTTTCCTCGGTCGGTGCTATCTCCTGAAATCCCCGCTCGACAGCCTACGGACATCAGGAGACGACCTTCTCGTTTGGCTGGCTATTTGCATGAGTGAACCCAGCTCTTCAGGTGTGCAAGACCAACTTCGAGCACTTACAGAAGCCATCCAGGCTTTGACTTTGGTGGTGGAGAGGGGACAGGGTGAGGGTTTGGAAGCCGCCCCCAGAGAGGCTACTCCAGTCTCTTCCCTCTCAGGCTGGCAGCTGGTGGAGGATAGTGCACCGATTTCTGGGGCTCCCAGTGGGTATCCTCGAAAGGATCCAGTTATTCTTTTCGAAGAAGGCCCTCCAGACACTCCTCAGTTCTGCTACGACATAGCCAAGAAGCACCTGTCCTCCTCGAAGGCTCATTCAACAGACAGGGCCCGAGCGTCCTTTGTGGCAGGGTTCTGGGCAAGAGCATTCTGGAAGTGTCACACCGAATATCACAGTGAATACAGGCCAGGCTTGCCGGCTGTTCATTGGGTGCTTCGAAAAGGGAAAGGTTTTGATTTGCTGCGAGTGACCTCCCAACGAGATTGTGATCGGTTGACTGCAGATTTTGAGGATATAGTCTTTGTGGAGAAGCTCCCCTCGCTCACCGAGTTGCACATCTTCTGTGCAGGGGCATCCGTTCCTGTGCCACCCCTGTGGCGATGGAGCGGAGATCGCTGAAAGATGCAGCCACGAATTCAGATCCGACGCTGTTGATCCTCACAGTTCCCGCAGAGATGTCATACAGTGCCGGTGAATTGCAAGCCTTTGCCTCACCTCTCATTCTCAGGAGAGGAGGGCTCATGCTGGCCCTTCCTGTAGGAGTGATTCGTGAAGATCTCCTTCTACAACCGATTGGGGCCGGCGAAGAAGAGATGTTTGGACCTTCCCGGACCTTTGAGGTGGAGCTGACAGACGAAGATGAGCATGGATCTGTGTTTCATACTGGGATCCGTGCTGAGGTGTTAGTGGCTGACTTCACTGACGAAATTCTACGTTACTGTCGTGAGTATGATCCTGTGGTTGATTCTCTTGAAGAAATTTCCCCTTACAGTGAGGGATTTGCCACAGGGCTTCCCGTGTTTGGGGATCTGCTCACAGCTATCCACAATTGGGCCGAGGAGGAGACAGTGGGCCGTGTGCATTTTTACAGCGCTCGAGAAGAGCAAGATGTCAGACCTCCAGCCCTACGGAAGACACCAGCCAAGAGAGTGACAAATGCTTCCCTCGCCGAGCAAGTGGCAGCTCTATCAGCTCAGGTGGCAGTGTTGTCCGCTCGACAAGAGACAGCCCCGAGGGAAGTTCCTCCTCTGCCCAAACCCGGCCAGGCTTCATTTGCCACTCCTGCGACAGAGCCAGGACCTTCGGCGGGCATAGGCTACCGAATGCCCCCAGTCTCAGCAGGACTGCAAACCCCGGCACGGCTTTCTCCTGCAAAGGCGATGCAGTTGGTGGGCACCCCTCCAAAGACCCGTACAGGTCCCAGCAGTGGCCTTGCCCTAGCAGTGCCAGACGAACCAGTGGACCCCCTTCGAGCCCCCAAGGACCCTACCGAGTTAGCCTTGAGTCAACAGTCGGCCGCTTTGACCACTCTTGTGGCACATCTCATTCAAGGGAACGACCCCTTCGGGTTAGAAGCGAGTTCATGGGGCTACTACGAGTTCCACAAAAGGCACAATCAGAAGGGAGAAGCTCCAACAAGATTTGGCAGCACGCCAGTCCCAGTTTTTCCTCTTGGTGCAGCAGCAAGTGTTCAAGAAATTACACCCGTCCAGCATGTTGCCCAAGAACGAGGAGGAGTTGCAGGCAAAAGGAGCCTCCCTGCTGACCTACCTGGAGCGATATGGGGGCTACAGGAACCAGAAGGAGGCAGGTCTGTGCATGTGGGTCCTTGCCCACGCCATGGATGCAGCAGCCGCTGGCGACTTTGTGGCTACCAAAGAGTTCTTAGCTCTGGGCGTCATGGCACTAGAGCAGTCTGTGTTCGATGCGGGAGATTGGGGCCTCGCCTATGTACTGGCACTAATCGAGGACCCTCCTCCTACGATGTTCCAGGACAAGATGGCATCTCTCACAGCAGCGGGCAGACCGTTCTCCCCGTTGGTGCCTCCAGCTTTGGCATCGATCAACCTTGCCTACCTAAAGGAGATAGACCTTCTTCAGTCCAGGAAAGCGGATGCCAGAGGCAAGAAACCACAAGGGACAAAAGGGGAGGAGGACAATTCTTCACCCTCCCCAAGGAGGAAGCCAAAGTGTCCGAAGAAGCCAAAGGCCCTCACCGACGGGTGAGGAACATACAAATGGAGCCTGAGTCAGAATTCAATCCGAGGTCCAATGGAGCCTCTTCTGCAGGGACTGGCGATCCTGGGAGGGACCTGCCGAGCACGAGCTCCAATCTCCAGTTTGGAGAGAGCTCACCGCTCATAAGGCCTCCCCGCTCCCCATTGCTTGAGGGTGATCGAGTGGAGACTCTTCGTCAAAACCCTTGTCACCCTGAGGCCGGGTTGAGCCGATCGCACTTTCTACATACCAGACAGGCCAACTTCCCAATGTGGTGTTCCATTTTGGTCAAACTGGTGTTGAGATCGAGGAGTTCTTTTTCTGCATTTTTGTCTTCAACCATTCGTCTTTCCAAGCAAGCGGGTCCTCGCCTGCCTGGAACTCCGTCTTTGTTCCCTGTGCCTATTCCTCCTATGTTTAGCCACAGGATGCCCACTTCTCCATCGCAAAGCAAGCGCAGGAGATCGCTGATTGACCGGGCTCTCCATGTCATCTGCATGGCGCTGAATTTTTGGCACTATGGTGGCGAGTTTGGTCAGATGCAGTCAATGTGGAGGGAGCCAAACAAGCAACACATAGTTTTGTTTGCGAGGGTGCGCTCCTTTATCAAGACGGACGGCCTACTTCCTTGTTTTGATGCATTGAAGGTGGGTCGAAGGAATCCAGAGATTTTTGCACGCCTTGGAGAGCTAACCGGGCTCCTCACACAGTTGGGTTGCTCATCCTCTCCCTATGACAAAGTTTTCGCAGGGGTTGAAGTGACAGCAAATACAGAGCTCTTCCCAGAGTTGACGCCCTACCGAGACTTGGATCCCAGCCGTCTGCGTCTTTTTGGCCGAGGTCATTGGGATGTCACAGATTTCCTGGATGACTCACTGGTGATGGCTTACAGAGAACCTGCGTCCATACACTGGGCTCGAATTCCAGAAAGCTGGGAATACCCAAGGATCAGAGATACCGTGGAAACTCTGGGTCAATTAGCTCACCTCTGGGACAAGCAGGGGCTTTTGATGCTACATCAAGAAGGTGTGGAGGGCAGGCCATCTTTTGAGCTCGTCCGCATCTTCAATTGCTACAAAGCAGTAGACCGAGACAGGCAGATAGGAGATCGTCGAGGCCGCAATGCCGTTGAGTTCAAATTGAAGGGCCCATCTTCCGATTTGCCTTCTGCGGTTGATGTTTGCGACCTTTGGGTTGACCTGTCTACTCAGAGGCTCTCCCTCTCGATCACGGACCGCCGTGATTTTTACCATCAACTGTGGGCAACTCGCGCACGGGCAGTCTCAAATACGCTGGGACCTGGTCTCCCTCCAAGTTTGGTGGAGGACACTGACGCCTACCAGCAGTTCCTTTTGAGGCAAGCAACATTCAAGTTTCAGCGAACTCACCATGGAGATCATCTGGAGAAGATTGCCAGCCATCTGCAGGAATCTGCTAGGACCTCGGGAGCAGTTGACAGGGCTGAAAGGTCCTCACTCCTTTGGGTGTCCTTTCAAAGTGTGCTGCAGGGAGACCATGCTGGCGTTGAGATTGCGACAAGCGCCCATGTTGGTTTGCTGAAGAGGTATGGGCTCCTTTCCGAGGAGACTATGATGAGAGCGAGCCGTCCAAGTTTCAGCAGAGAAGTTTTAGAGGGCTTGGTCATTGATGACTTCTTTAGCATCTCAGTTGACCCCAAAGGTACAGCAAAGGAATCGACCGCTTCCTTCAAGTCCTATCAGAAAGCGCAAGAGGCATACTCCAAGTTTGATATTCTGGGCTCCCCCGAGAAGGACATCATTGCAGAGCCGGCGGGGAAAGCAATAGGAGCTTACATCAACTGCAGCGAAAAGGCAGCCCAGCAAGGGTTATGCCTGGTCGGTGCCCCTCCGGAGAAGAGGTTGAGTTTGTCGCTCCTGACGCTTCATCTCTGTGGTCTCCCATATACAACGGTGTCGCTACATAGGTGCATCCTGGGGGCCTGGGTCTCTATGCTCACGTTTAGGAGGCCCATGATGAACTTGTTGAACAAGTCCTTTGCTCTGGTCAATGCCTATCAGGAATGGGAGGATACCTGCCTCATTCCGCTTCCAAGAGAAGTGGCATGTGAGCTTGTGCTGGTTTCTGTCCTTGCTCCTCTGATGCAGACAGACATAGCGGTCCCCTTTTCTCCAACAATATTTGCAACTGATGCCTCTGACAGCAGAGGAGCTATTTGCAGTACAGAGGCTACAGCGGAGCTGGCACAGCTGCTTAGCAAACATTGCAAGACGAAGGGGGCGTACACCAGGTTGCAATCAGAGTGGACAACCCTGAAGAGGAGAGTCTTTGCAGAGGATGCGGTCGAGGAGGAGCCAGCCCAGACATCAGTGCAGAAGCCCCTTGCGTTCACGTTCAGCTTTATTGAAGTCTTTGCTGGGGCGGCCAGAGTCACCCAATGCCTGGCTAACCTTGGAGTTTCCTGCGGTCCTCCTTTGGACCTCTCTTTTTCTGCTGAGTACAACCTGAAGAGCATTCATATTTTGGAATGGTTATTTCATCTCATTGAGGAGGGCTCCCTGGAGGGCCTGATGATTGAACCTCCTTGCACCACTTTTTCGATCATGAGGAGACCGGCTTTGCGAGACTCTTCACATCCGTTTGGCTTCTACCCTCATGAAGAGAAAACGCAGGATGGAAACATACTGGCTCAAAGAGGTTTGCAACTGATGTGGAAGGCTGGTGTTCATGGTGCTTCAGCCATCTTTGAGAGGCCCTTCACAGCCAAGACAAAGCACCTGCCCTCATATAAAGCAGTTGCAGCCCTCTCGAATGCGACCGAGATCAGGTGTGATTCTTGCCAGTTTGGCTCCCCTCATCAAAAGTCCGTTGCTCTACTCGGCATCAATGCCAATATGGCCCCCTTGGAACGGAGATGCAGAGGTTTATGCCGACATATCCCCGTGCAGGGGGTCTACACAAAGTCATCTGCCATCTATACAGAGGAGCTCGCTCAAACTTTAGCTGAGGTCTTCTACCAGAGCATCCGTTGTGCGTGTGAGGAGGATGATATTGCAGCTTTACCAGTGTCCGGCCTTGAGAACCAGTTGGTCAATGAGATCATGCTCACTAGCCCCTGGACCGTTGAGAGCTCTTGGAAGTTCAAAAAGGGTTCACACATCAATCTCTTGGAGATGAGATCAGTGGAGAAGCTCCTGGAGAAGAGATCAAAAAGGGGGCCTTCCAGGATAGTATGCATGGTCGACTCCTATGTGACCCGCTGTGCCCTGGGCAAAGGCAGATCAGCCTCCGTTGCTCTTTCCTCAATCATCCGGAGGATTGCCTCAACAATGGTGAGTTTTGGGCAGTACCTGGTTACTCCTTTCTGCCCTACCCGCCTGAACTGTGCGGATGATCCTACTCGGGACCATGAACTCAGGAGGCCTGTGAAGGGCCTAAATTGGCGGTCTTTGTCAGATGAGGAGCTATGGGCTTTGGCATCTATTAGACTCACCAAGCGATGGGCCTCGAACTGGATTAGGCTGGTTGTGCTTCTCATGGGTCCCTATGTTGCTGAGCTTTCCAACAGAGCACTATACAGATACTCTCGGCTTTCCCCATCCTTCGCTTCCCTATGCCCTTTCAACACAGAACGTTCCGCTCAACAGATTCACACTGGCGACAGCTTGGACTTCGATCAGACCTTGGGCTTCCCTGGGGAAGGGCCTTTCTTGGGCCACTCCTCGCCCTGGGTTTGGGCATTCAGCTCTATTGTTTCCTCTGGTGTTCTGTTTGACTTCGACGGGCCTTTTCCTCATTCCGCCATCCCGGCACCGCCTCCTGGGCTTCCCTGCTGGCGCTGGGGTCCTTGCTGGGTGCTGGGTGCTGTAGTGTTCTTCCAGGTTTTACCGGGCGCATACGCCATGGAGCCGCGAACCACTGCTGATCACGCTCGTGCAGCAATCAGAAGATCCAGGCCCGTGCTGCCGGAAGGCAGACCCACTCTGAACAGGACAAACAAATTGAGAGAAAGGTATTGGGAACAATTTTTAGCCTGGCTGGAATGTGAGGGCATAGATTTTTCTGCTCTTTTGGCTGACCATAGCCATTACATTGACGAGATAAACACGGTCCTGACAGCCTTTGGTCGTGCACTGTATAGAGCTGGCCATACAACCAGTATGCAGAAACAATAAACTGCCTCACCTCCAAAAAGCCTGCACTGAGACGATGGATGCAAGGGAGCTGGGACTTAGCGTTCCAATGGATGCAAGCAGAGCCAACAGCTCACCATGTGGCTATGCCCTGGCAGGTTTTACTGGCAATGACAACGGTATGCCTAATGTGGGGGTGGCTCCCGCTTGCTGGAGCGTTGTGTTTGATGTGGGGAGCTTTGCTCCGGCCTGGCGAATTCCTGAACGCACTTAGGCTGGACCTACTTCTCCCTCGCGATGTGGAACAAACTATATCTTTTGGGATTTTGGCGATCAAAGAACCCCAAACTCGCCATACTGGTGCAAAACACCAAGCTGGAAAGATCGACGTGCCCGATCTGTTGGCTGTAGTGGACCTGGCTTTTGGCGACTATGAAGGTGGACGCCGCCTCTGGGGACACTCTGGCCAAACGTTGAGGTCAAGGTTCCAGGCTGTGTTAGCAGCCCTTCGTCTTCCTACGATGAAGGCTGGAGCACTTAAACCGCTCGACCCAGGTTCTCTTCGAGCTGGTGGAGCAACGTGGCATTTACAATGCACCGAGGACGGCGAGTACTGTCGCCGCAAGGGTCGTTGGTTGTCACAAAAGGTCATGGAAGTTTATGTTCAAGAAACCACTGCCCTCCTGTACCTCAAGAAGATCGATCCATGTGCACGTGACTTGATTCTGGCTATGGCGGGATTGTTCCTTCGCATTTTGGAACTTTGTCAATCATACAAAGCTTTGCACCTCCCCTCCGTGTTATGGTGCAACCTCCTGCAGACCGAAGCTTGGACGTGAAGGGAGACTACGGGATGAAGCAGAGGTCAAAACATGACCATCTGCCTGTGAACCTCAAAGAGGATGGTTGAAAAAGGTCCGTGCATTGAAGATG